GATTTGCACAAGACTACCCATTATCCGAAGGCGGCATTGTTTTGAAGTATTATATTTGTTTTTTTTTAATAATGCAGGTTGCTTTTAATATTTGAGTGCTAAACAGACAGAGCTGCTTATTCACAAATGAACAGCACCTAAAGACGCATCCTAGGCTGCAAGGCGCTTAGCGTACACGTAGGAATGCGTGTTTTCGAGGGCATAATACAAATATACGTAATACTATGTCCTTAATAGTTTCTGCAAGAAACAATGACTAAAATAATAACTACAGCTGTTTTGTTGTAGAAATATTGAGAGCATATCTGAATGTGAGGTAACTGACTAAGCTGCCAAATAGTAGTACATGTACAACAGAAGCTGGCTGTAAGAAGAACGCTGTGCTAATAAACGTAGTCACTGGATCCATAAAGATAGATAGTTTTTGATGAACCCATATGTGTTACTACTGTAAGCCATAGTTTTCTAAGAGTTGTTTAGGCAGCAAAATCTGATCTCCGAAAATATAAGCGGGGTATATGTTTAGACCGTGTCCGAAAATAAAAGCGGTATGCTTACAAATTCAAGTCATCTGATAATACTGTCGTATTCCACCTAAGCACGCCTATACAAATGCTGTTGTTGTTGTTGGCCGCTGTAAACCAGACCGTAGAAATATTTAGGCGCTCTATGTGGCACCGTTCAATAGAGAATCACACGCGCTACATCTCTACAAATTTCTATGACATTTCGTGTAAAATTGACCTCCCGGCGAAAGATTTTCAAATTTCACATATTCACCACGAACTTTGCATAACGATAACTGTGGCCGATTTGCTTCAAACGTCGACCAAAACAATTGCCGTAATCTAAGCCGCACTTAAGACTAATCAGCTGCTTGTTTAAAGGTTATCTGTTCTTAAAACTAATTTTGCCTGCCCATCCTGCTTATATTTTCGGACGGAGGAAGTACTACTTAACTGGCGGACGTGTCGCCGACAGGGGCGTAGGGTAAGATTTTATATGGAGCGGCAAGACAACAACAAAACATGAGGGGTGCTAATTATAGCTGGCCAAGTAGATATCATAAATAAACTTGGAGCCTAAATGAAATTTAACCATCCCGGAATCATCATTAAACTATCAAATAGAAAAACACCGCCGTCAACAATAACAACTCCAAGGCGTCTTGCGACGCATTAAACAGATGCTTTAATCATTACTGGCACAGACTAGGGTGTCTAATGGCTCATTCTGAGTCAGCACAAAATGACCGCTAAATGTATTAAAATGTACAAAACTGAATTTGTTTTTAGTTTCACGGAGTTTGGTATGAGAAGTGATCATTTTGTTAGCTACTTACAAGATTAAACAGGCAGTACAAGCGGGTAAGTAGTGCAAGCTAACACGCCATTACTATCTTTTGCATTGATCTGAACTAAGTATCACGGCTCTGAAACGGCCCGAGCTTGACGCTAAACTTATTATATTGTAATAGGGCATTGACGGTGATTACCGAGGAGTCAAGCAGTAGAGAGCACGTGGGAGGTATTGGGTACGTCAGTGAAGTGAGCGGTTACATGGCGTCAGTTGGTGTGGCGAGCGGGGACCGCACAAATGCGATCTTGTATCCAGAAGCGACGCGTGGGAGTTGCGAGCCAATCAGGAGTGACCAATGATCGCAATACGAACCCGACGTGCAGAGGAAAAGCGACGTGAAGACGAAGAGCGGTGAGACTTCGAGATTTGCGTTGGAGAGCTGTACCAGATTGAATCTCACTTCGAGATTTGCGCAGTCGAGCACAGAGGCGAAGTAACTGCAAGTACGGAGAAGTGCGAGGTAGTGAGTGGGGTGCACGAAGCGGTCAGAGGACCAACGCGAGAAGAGAGAAGGAGAAGAGAGAGAAGAGGTGCGATTGGACGGACGATCAGTCGTCAGTGCATTGGTGGACGCGTAGAGCAACGACAGCGACGGGCGACGAGACCAGGAGGGGAGGACCCTCCGAGTTACTGTGTGGCTGCGAGCCGTAGGGTAGGCGCCAGAGGCGTAATCCAAGTGGCTTTAGTAAGCGAGGTTTAGTGGGACCCGAATCGTCGGTGCTTTGCGTGGACAGAGCTGTGCTGGGGGTGGATTAGAAGGACAGGAGCACGGAGAGTGGGCGCTCGATAAGTTACGGACGCGTGACGAGTCGATAGCGTAAGAGTGAGACTGAGTAGCGGTGTATTCCGGGAAAGAAGGCCCAGAGAAGAACCGTGGCAATAGGTCGAGAGTTGAGAGGGTGAGTCAGGTGAGTGATAGCACGCCACCGAGAGCGAGTTCGCGGCTGCTAGTCACAACAGGCCAGAGTCACAGGAGCTGAGGAGAGAAGTAAATAAAATAGGGACGAGAGTCCCGGCACCTTTGCGAGGGGCCTACAGAGTGTGTGAGTTGCATTGAGACGGGCTACCCAACAAAGCGAACTACTGGTAGTCCACCGCAGGAAGCACAGACAATATACGATCCGCCAGCAACGGGGCGTAAGCGGGTTGTCACATGGTGGTCATAGAGGGGCGTTCGTCAGTCAAACGAGGAAGTGTCACGACGAAACGAGTACTGGAAAGTGGGAGAACGAGTGATACTGCGGCAGACGAGATGTCTTCAACGTCTCCAGCAAGAACAGTAATGAGAAGACGAAGGTCGAAGGATGTTGAGCGACAAGTCGACGACTTGGTTAGTTCCGCTACACAAGCGAACCCCAAGAAGCAACGAAAGACTGGGCGCGAGGAGCAACGTCAAGGAGAACCAGAGGCGACGCCAACCGAACAGACGTCTGTAGTTGAAGAGGCCTCGGAATGTGAAGAATCGAAGCAGAGTGACAGCTCCAGTAACAAGACGCTCGAGTTAGTAGATGTTGCACGAGTATTGCATGGACTGACAGCGATGGTGGCGGGGTTGCAGCCTAGCATGGCTGACAGTCAAGATGAAGTCAGGGACAGTCGCAGTGGTGAGAGCCAAACCGATGACGCAGGTGGCGGTGCATCCCAGAGCGTAGCGGTGATGACAGGGGACAAGACAAACGATGGAGAGTCGGTGGCGACAGTGGCTGCGGCACTACAACAACTGACAGGTGCTATGCCGAATCTGCAGATGCCTCAAAGTCGAAGTCGGCAGGCCGAGCGCAGAGAGCAACCGTCAGTCGAATGGGTGACAGTGCGACAGGAAATCCAGCGATTGGCGGAAAGGGTGAAGACACTACAAATGCAGTCGAGGCTTGACGAGTTACATGGACCAGAAAAAGCCGAGGTGTACGGAGGGAGATACGAACAACCTACCGATGCTTCAACAACACCATCTCGTTACCACAACCGAAGTCGAGAGCGAAGAGAAGTGCAACGAGAGCGAGGCCATGTCAATCACGGGGAGCATGGAGAACGCAGAGATGATCGACGCGGACAGCGAGAGACAGTGCGGAGAAGACGGCGGGTAGATCCATCTCCACCGGACGACAGCAGCAGCGCTGACGAGTCACGAGATGAAGACCGACATCGAGATAATAACCGTAGAAGCACTGGGCAAAGCAGCTCGGGGGATTCTTCGAGCTCGTCGAGTAGTAGCAGCAGCGAGAGCGAAGGTGAACCAAAACGACGACGGCGCCGTAGGCATCGGGAGGAACATGATCAACGAGAAAGAGGAAGACAACGCGGTCGACGAGGCGAAGAGGGGCATCGACGAGGAAGAAGCCCGAAGCGAGGGAAGAACGTGAAAGACTTGAAGCTGCCGAGTTTTACACCTTCACCCAAAGTATCAGTATCAACGTGGATAGATCGAGTGGACTTAGCATTAAAAGGGGCTGCCGAGTCAGGACGAGGGCGTTGATCTGACAAGTCGCTGTACTTCATATTAAGTAATAAGTTGATGGAGAATGCAGCTAAGTGGTGGGTCGACATGGATAGGAGACTCTCCGAGCGGAAGAGAACATGGACGAACCTAAAACAAATGTTACTACGTCGATACGGAGAAAAGTTGGACAAGTCAGCTGCTGAATGGAGGGTCAGCATGCGTAGGATGATGCCGGGCGAAACACATGCGGATTTTGCGGCAGGGCTGCGAGATGTGGTAGGACGAAACAAGGTCAGTGAGCGAGTGCTGCTGGCACAGTTCTACAGATGTCTCGATAAGACCACGAAGAAGCTAGTGAGGCAGGAACCGCAGCCTCGGACATTGGAAGAAGCTGTGGATAAGGCCATGGAGATCCATGATCCGATGGACAACTTGGCGTTGGGCATGAGTAATATTGGGCAATCGTGGGCGACGGCACCGAGTCGGTACGTCATCCCCATGAACGGAACGACAGGAGCTACAAACGTTATCCCTGGTATCTGCGGTACGGGATTACCCCTGGACATTACTGGTGGTACGGATGATGGAGTCAGCATGCGACCGGAAATAGAGCACGTAGCGCTCTTTACGAACCCGCAGGGCGTGTACAATACGTTCTCAAACACCTGGGACCCCCCCGCCTGGCCATCTATGGAACGGAAGGTACTGATATGAGCCGAGGAAGAACGTAAAGAAGACTACAGCGGCTGTGGCGAGCAGTCACAAAGAAGCAAAGAAACCTGCTGGGAAAGCAAAACGGAGGAGAGATGTCGAGGACTCGAGCGACGATGAGTTTGCAGCAAGACCAAAATACAGGAAGACGAAGGCAGCGGTCAAACAAACAGTGAAGCCCAGACAGCAACCGGATAGCGGAGAGGCTAAAGGAGTGCAGAAAAATCAGTAGTCAACCACGTGGCGATGGTCCTGGCGTATGCTATCGGTGTAATCAACCTGGTCACTTTGCGAATAGTTGTCCAACCTTGAAGTGTTATGCATGTGGGAAATTGGGGCATATGGCAAGTGCGTGTACTGATCCGGAAGCCAAAAAGCGTAACGAGGCGTACTTGAAGACACGCATACCCAAAGAGCAGTTAGCGGAAAACTAGAGACGGACGAGGTAGGGGGAATACGACGTCCGGCAACAGAAGGAAATTCCCGACAGATGACGAGAGACGCCATGCTACTTGGTACAGCAAATGAGGTAGCGGTACGGACGCCTATGAATGCGAGGACGCCAACATACCAAAGTGGGTCAGTAAACATTCGAGAGTCAGCGCGTACAGGGGATCGAGGAAGTACGAGTGGCAGTGTGGGCGCAGTGGCACAAACGACAGCGGAACGCGAAGAGAACCAGACTAAGAGAGTGGATGCAATGTTGGAAAAATGGCGAGACGGGGCTGCGGAGCGAGATGGTACGAGGGCTGCTATCCACGTGTCGACAGTGAGACCAGCGATGGCCTCGGCACGATACAAATACGCTGCATCTGCGGATCAACAACAGAACGAGGGCTGTGGACTCGACGGCAAGCGTCAAACTGGGGAAGGCGCGTATTTATCAGCACCACAGTCGGAAACCAACGATGGCGAGGTGAAGAGTATCGGAGAGCTGTCGGTGAGCACGGTCGTGAGAAGGGAAACGATGGCTGAGGCGGAGGACACGACGAGAGCTGCGAGGGACAACGGCACGAGTACCGCGAGAAGGTAGACGCACAGCTAAGCGATGGTATTGCACAAATACGTCTTACACGTCGAAGAGAACGGAAACAAGCTAAACGCAAGAAATGATGAACGTGCGAGCACGACAGCGTAGTGCCGAGCAGCAAGATGCAGAAGAAATACAGCGTGTTACCGTCGAGCAGTTGACCAAGCGACAACGAGTTGCAGAAGTCGCTTTAAACGAAGTCGTGGGGCGGAAGCAGCAGCTAAATGAGAGAAAGACAGCGAGCGCGCTGAGAACCGCTAGAGTGAGTCTAGTACAACGGCAAAAACGTGCGGAGTGTGACGAGGAGTTGGCCAGTACGGACAATGAGGTGTAGTACGTGGAAGCAAACGACGGATTACCGACAGCTACGATGACAGTGGCAGGAGCTCGAAAGTGTATCAAGTTGGACAGTTGTGCAAGATTCGCCATTGCAGGGACACAATGGATGCAGTATGGCGACAAATTGGTAGACAAAGCACCCGTTGACTATGTGGAGGGCATTGGTGGCTTTCTCTTGGATGTCATCGGAGTCTGGCGATTTAAGATGAGCAGCGCCTTTGGCGAGAAGGTCACAGTAGACGCGTGTATTGTGTCGGGTTGTGTGGAGGAATTCCTCCTTGGTGTCGACTTTATGAAGAAGTACGGTGCGGTCATGGACTTCGAGAACAGTGAGCTACGCTATCGAGATGAAGAGCAATCCGTGATCATCCTGTTCAGGACCTATGACGATATCGGTGGAGCACGTGTGGCAATCGTACGAATGGCACGAAAGACGCAGATCGAAAATAGTTCGGTAACGCCGGTGGAAGTGGCGGTGTCCGCAAAAGGCGGCGAGCAGGGCATCTTCATTCCGACAGTATACGCAGGATCGGTGTTGTTGGCGGCAACAGTAACGACGGTGTGCAGTGGACGTGCGTGGGTTCCCGCTGTTAATACGAATACGAAGCCAACGAGGCTGCCGAACAAGAAGCAGTTGGGCACGTGGATACCCATCAGTAGCGAGATGATAATACTAGCGATTGACGGTGCACTGGATGCGAAGAAGCTGAGTGTGTGGCTCGACGAGATGGGAGACACGGAGACACCTTTGGATGATGAAAGCCAAGTGAGCTGTGGATCCGAGGAGCCAGCAGCGCGAGAGCTGATCATGAAGTTACTACGAGCCTACCGTCAATTAACGAAAGATACAGGTGACTGTCCACCTGCAACTGCATTAGAGATGTACCATCACATTGACACGGGGGACTCTGCTCCGATTATGCTGAAGAGAAGGCGTCAGGCGCAAACGGAAGACGCGGTTGTAGAAGAAAACGTGGATAAAATGCTGGGTGCAGGTGTTATTGGAGAAGGGAACGGTGCTTGGGGGTTTCCAGTGGTGCTCGTCCGGAAGAAAGATGGCGAAGTGAGGTTCTGTGTGGATTACCGGGCTCTCAATAGGGTCACTAAGAAAGACGTGTACCCTCTTCCAAGAATCGACGAAACGTTAGAAGCTTTGGGTGGTGCATTACTCTTCACTACTCTTGACCTGCGAGCTGGGTATTGGCAGATCTTAATTGCGCCGGAGGATCGTGACAAAACTGCTTTCACGACTAAGAGAGGACTGTATAGGTTTGTTCGTATGCCATTTGGCTTAGCGAACGCTCCTTCAACATTTCAGCGAATGATGAACGGTGTTCTGCGTGGGTTGACGTGGCTAACATATGTAGTTTACTTGGACGACATAATGGTTTTCACACGTGGAGGGATAGAGCAACATGTGCTGGAGTTGGCATGTGTCTTCGAGCGATTGGCAGCTGCGGGATTGACGCTCAAACTAAAGAAGTGCAAGTTTGCGGCCAAAACGATGGAATATTTGGGCCATCAGTTGAGTTGTGACGGGTACGACCATTACAGAGGCTAGTGACGGCTATACAAGAGTTTCCTACACCTACAGATACAGTGGAGGCGAAGCGATTTGTCCACTTAGCGCGGTACTACAGGAGGTTTGTGCAAGGGTTTGGGACTCTCATGGCCCCAATCACTAAGTTGTTGAGGAAGAATGTGGAATGGGAGTGGGGTGACGCACAGAATTCAGCTTTCGGGAGAGTTTAGGGAGATACTTAGGACAGAGACCCTGTTTCCTATTTTCCGAACTGCATTCAACCCTTTCGGGGTAAACAACAGATGCAAACCAAACGGGACACTTGACGCGTGTCTTATGCAAGACCGAGGAGATGGCTGGCAGCCGGTTGCGTATGCAAGCAAGGTGAACAATGTAGCGGAAAGCAAGTATGGTATCACGGAACTGGAGTGCTTAGCGGTGGAATGGGCGATAAAACTGTTCCGACCTTATCTCTACGGAAGACGGTTCACAATTATCACAGATCATTCAGCTTTGAAATGGCTGATGACCAGTCCAAATCTGACCGGCAAGTTACATCGTTGGGCACTCACTCGAATTTCGACTTTGAAGTTCAGTACCGACCTGGCAGCACGAATGTGGTGGCTGACGCGCTTTCGAGAGCACCTGTGGCTGAAAGGGTGTTAGCGGCGGTAGGAAGAAGACGACGATCGCGGCGACGTGCAGAGGCACACATGACAGATGCGGCAAGGCATCAACCAGTCAGAGCAGCAGGGGAGGTTCAAGCAGATGAAGCGACGTTAGAATCAGCAGGGGCGACAGATACCACAACGATCTCAAATATCGTGTCCTTGCCAGTTGCGGAAAAGCGGAAGGATAAGACAGACAATGATGACGGCGGGAACGACGAAGCCGAAGTGACGACCTCAGCATACGACAGTACGAAGAAAGCGGCAAACGTGAGCCAAGTCGCTACGAAGACGAGCAGTGTGGTGTCAGGAGCTGATGTCGACAAGAAGAACGGAACGAGCAGCGTAAGGGCGACTTACGGTGCTAGTATGATGACTACGGGTGGTACGTCGATACGAGCGACACCGACTGCCGTGCCGCAGAGTACAGAGACGAATACTATGGGGCCAGTGACCCGTGCAGCAGCACGACGGGCTGAGGAAGCTAGGCGCCAAAGTGATGCGAATGATGTGGCGGATGCTGTGGAAGCGAGTGACACGACGGGTATTGCGCAGGACGCAACAGTAGATGAAGCGCAACGGGTTACAGTGAGGGCCACGGATAAAGAAGTCAACAATGGTGACGATGAAACTGCGGGAACCGAAATCAACGATGGTGCTGCGCAGGAGTTACCAGTAACTGGAACAGTGAGTGAACCAGAAGCAGTAAGGACGCGAAGGAGAGGGCCAACGAAAGAACGGGGAGTTGCGGACAGCAGTGAACGACCGGTACGCGAATCACCATTAAATACCAGGAAGACCAAGGAGAAGACGACAGCAGTATCTGCTGGAGATGGGGAAAGAAGAAGAGAGGAGGTGCAACAAACAGGATCCATGCGTGGTAGTAACGGAAAGCAGACAGTCGCAGCAAAACCTGTACAAACAACGAGCGAAGAATAAAGCTACGAAGTACAAGTACGCGGAAGGCTACGGGCGCGCAGACACTGCAACTAGCCGATACGGAGATCATGGAGTCGCAGAAAAGAATCTAACTGATCCGAAGACTGCTGAATACGGGTGAGCATCGCGGCATGAAGGTGGAGACAAGGTTCGGATTGGTAGTGATCAACACAGCGAGGGGCGACGTGTAATCATGCCTCCAGACCTCTGGGCAATTGTATTTAAGGAGAGTCACGACTCAGTATGGGCTGGACATCTTAGAGCAACACATACTTACGCAAGAATTGCAGAGGTGTATTGGTGGCCTGACTTAATGCGAGAGGTACAAAAGTGGGTGAGAAGCTGTCAAGAATGCGGCAGTAGGAAAGCACGATCAAGTGAGGTAATACCGCCTCTCAGGAGTATCAACGGAGGTGATGTTGGAGATCGATGGGCGCTAGATGTGGCAGGACCACTACCCACGACTGACGGAGGACACCGTTATGTCATAGCTGCAGTCGAGTATGTGACGCGGTACGCAGTGGCAGCTACAGTGAAGCAACGCACGGCAGAAAATGTGGCCAAGTTTATTATGCTGCAAGTAGTAATCAAGTTTGGACCATTTCGTGAGCTGTTGACAGATGGAGCTCCAGAGCTAGCAGGCTTGGTGATTGAGCAGTTGATAGAACTTCTACAAGCGCAACAGATCAACCCCGTGCCGTACAGACCACAGATGGTTGGATTAGTTGAGAGATTTCATCGCACGTGGAAAGACGGAGTCGCTACATACCTGAACAGTGAAGACCAACGTGACTGGGACACCTGGGTCGACTTCATGACGTACGCATATAACTCTGCACAACACACGACAGTCAAACTGTCACCGAACGAGTTAATGATGGGTAGAAGACTTCGCAGTCCGAACGAATTACTACGCAGCACGGACGTACGGGAAGCAGGAGAGCTTACAGCGTATCACAGGAAGCTGTTGGCAGCGATGAAACACAGTAGTGAGTGTGCTGAGCGGGCAAGAACGAAGGAGCAACAACGGCAGGCAAAATACTACAATAGGAAAACTCGAACGAAACGGACGATAAAACCAGGAGACCGGGTTTGGATGTTTCGGCCTCCAAGAGGACCAAAAGCGTCTAAATTGGTACACCAATGGATAGGGCCAATGAGAGTTATTGAGTCGGCGGGATACGACAATTCCCTGATCGAAAGAGAAGGCACAGCGGAGGAAAAAGAGCGATACATTGCTCACGTATCGTTCCTAGTGACCTATCACTTTCCTACAACACTACTTAGTCGAGTGGCTGAGGATATTGAAGACCAACTAGCAGACGAGGATGACGAGAAGCAAGGGGGAGATGCAGCGGCGGCAGCGAAAGCTGTACGAGCAGCGCCAGTATCTGGACAAGCAGGCGTTGCAGTATCAAGTAAGAAAAGAGACCGAAGCACAGTGGATGACGAAGCGCCAGAAGAGCAGTCGAGTGGCGTCTTGGTGGAGTTACGACGTAGAAGGAGAAGGAACAGAGCTGGACAGTACGTCCTTG